TGAATTAGGTCTTATTACTGCATGGTATACAGTAATTCTAACGTAACATTTCTTTGTTTTCTGCAGTTTTAACTATATATTATATCTTTCTTGCTTCTCCACATTGTCTAGAAGATGAACATGGTGCCTATATACTATACTGTCCGTCTAAGTCTTTTTCACACGTATTACATTTTGTAAGTGCTTTGGAAACAACTTAGTCCTGTACAAAAGTACATTTGTTATAAACATAATAAAAGTAAAGATAAAGAGAAAAAGAAGCAAATTAATTCAGTTACCCAAAAACTAACATTTAATTCAATATCAAATGGATTGTGAAATAGTAATAAATTGTTCTTTAATTAAGTAGATTTCAATACTTTACTTACTGCATCTGTAAGGGATTTGGACAGTGAGTTCTACAGTTGTGGATCTGTACAAGATAAGACTGTGACTGACTGAGTGAAGCCTGGTCTTCAGTAGAGTTAGGAGGTCTGAATCAGCAGGTCTCATTAAGATGTTGGTATGCTCATGCATTAAGGCCTTAAAAAAACAGGAGCTGGACCATTCAGTACTTTATACATGGTCAGGCGAAACCTTTAGTCCATTCCACATTTCACAGGAAGCCAGTGTATGAGATGAGAGATATTTGCTGAGGATGATTAGATTTGATTAGCACACAAGTTACAGAATTCCAGACACATTGAAGCCTATTTAGTAACTTAAAGGATTCTAAATTAAGGCATTCTAGTAAAGAAACAAGTAATAGGTTTATTCCATGCTGAGAAAAAGAAGAAAGAAAACACAACGTTTCGGCCTTGGAGCCTTCTTCAGGTGTGAGGGAACCTTTTTTCAGCATGGAATAAACCTATTACTTGTTCATTTGCAGCCTACGCATGCTGACATGTCTACCCACCTGTTCTAGTAAATAAGTCTCATTGAAATAAAGGTATGTACCAGACTTTCATCCATTAGATGGAGCAAGTGATTTACTGTAATAGAACCCTGTGTAAATCCCTGAGGAAGTGGGACGACATCAGTTTTGCAGTAAATCGGCCAAGAACTGCAAATTGGCTCCCATTTAAGCAACAGCCAAGCCCATGAAACCAGTACTTGTAATCCCATATCAGTTTCCACCAGTTCCACTTGGTTGCCATGATTGACATGATCAAAATCTGCTTTGAAGTTTGGAAGGGAAGAATATTAATTGTCCAGAGTCAGAAGCCATCAGTAGATCATTAACTAGTTTAACAAAGGCTGGTTCAGTCTACCTCCTAGTTGGAAATTTTCATATAGCTCATATGAGATATGAGATAAGGTTGTAATTGAACTGCCACTGGAAATCCCAAAATGTTTGTGAAGAAAGGCTGATTGTTAATAGTACAGAAGTTACGTATCTACAGATATAAGACCAGGTGACTAATTGATGTGTTAGTAACAAGTGGGTAAAGGGCAGAAAAGTTAGATGTGGAGTAATACGGTCAAACACAAGTAGAACATTTCATAAATAGAATCAACAGCAGTAAAATATGAGAAGCATCTGTGCATGTATATGTGGGTATAAGTATCATAATCGCATAAAAAACAGGAACTGGTTATTATTAGTGTGTGATTTGTTCAGAAAGACTTTCATAAATGTGCTACACTATTCAGTAGAGAGAGAAAAACACGACTTACTAACTAGCTCAATAATTTTATTGGTGGTGGATAAAAATGTTTGGAAGTTACTGTAACCCCATTCGATAAGATTGGAATAGAAAGAGAATGTTGCCATATTTAGGGCTATTTATGTTATGAATTAGCCTGTAAGTGAACGGTCAGCCCTGTCTTCCTCCACTAATGCTCAAGATGTCATCCTGCTGCCTTAATAACTCAGTTTATTTGTGTTTGTGTTATTTTATAATAGTTCAACTATCAAAAACACATCAGGGACTCTTTGCGGAAAGGCATCCTTCAGCAAAAGAAAGATAGTTGTACTAAATGCATTTTTTGTGTTCTTCTCCACCAAACTAGTAGAATTAATCAAATTCATTCTATGAAAAGTTATAATAATCTTAGTGTTAGGACAAGAGGAGAATCAAAGAAGGAGGAGTATAGAAGGCTGAAGTAGGACTCACGTCTAGTAGAAATGTATTGTAGTCAGAAATTTCCAGCTCAAATGCTTGTAGGTTAAAAAAACCAGAACTACCAGAATTTTCCAGGTCTTATATACAGTGACACTTATGTGTTCAGAAGTTGGGAAATTGATTATATGTATATAACCAAGTCAATCTAAAGTGGCTATGGTATCGACATTACCTGAGTATTTGGGATAATCCAGATGTACGGTGGCTTTCAGAAGTATTCATTATATTTGGATGTTTATTGTGTTCCGAATCATATTGTATTTAGTGGGAGTCTTTTTCCATATGTCAACACAAAACACTCTATAATTTCAACGTGAAAACAAAATTCCTCAGAACCTCCAAAATCATCAAGAAGAAATATACTTGGATTACACAAAGTGGAGTTAGTAGATTTGAAAACTCTGGTACAAATCTTACGGTGTGGCAACCCAGAAACACCAGAAATGTATCATTTTGTACTAAAAACTAAGGATTCAAATGGTGTAACATTCCACACAGAAAAATCTTGAAGAATAACTTAAATGGCTTATATTGGCTCTAATGTTTCTCATCTTGTGTTTTTAGTTTATACTGCTTTCATGTAATAATCCATACTTGTCTACTATTAATGTAATGTTCTAGGTAATTTTCTGTAATTTGCCTGGCATCTTTTACGGTATAGTATACGTACTATAACAATCTAATGAAGATCATTGATATAAATGAAGAAAAGAAGTGGTCCTAATACAGACCCCTGTGGTACTCTAATACTTACATCTCTCCATTTAAAAAATCATTCCTTTCTGTAGCTTCTGCTTAGTATTTGTTAATCAGCTCTAAATCCAAAATGAATCTATACCTCTATAATCTATATTTAAAGAATGTTTAATTTACGTGAAAGTGAGAATGCATTTCAGGTCAGTCCAGGATTAGGATTACAAGAACTATTAAATTTTGAGTCCATTTATGCTTCTTGTTCCATTTGAAATGATGACATTTAGAATGTTTACCAATTGAAATGTGTTTTCTTAACGCTTTTAATGTGATCCATTTTTGCAGTAGCGTTCCTTTACTTTGTTATACAATCTAAGTGGCCAAATCTCTCTGGAAAAATACAATTGAAGATGGGTAGCAAAGTTTCACTGTTCATAAAGTTCACTTGGGCCCTGTAATACAGCGATGATCTTAGTAAATGTCTAAGTACAGTGAGAATCCTGACCCTGACCTTAGCTGGGTTTTAATCTGATTTTAATCTTTTAATCTGGGTTTGGGTCGGATTTTCACATACAACTTCAGGCTCGGGCCAGGTTCGGGTTTGTTTTCTAATAAGTGAAAATGAATTATTATTTTATGTTTTAAATATATTTTTATTAGAAGAAATCCATAACTCGTTTTGCGCCATCACTCGCATTGTAAAACTACATCTGTAAAAATCCTTCTTCGTGTGCGCATGTGTGTCTACTCACAGAGTGACCGATTTCGGGTTTGGGTTTCAAATTTGGCAGTACCATTCGGGTTCGGTTGGGTCGGGTCTCTAGGTCTCATGTATGGGCCGGGTTCGGGCTTCAATTTCATGCCCGTGTAGACCTTTAATCTGAACTATTCTGTCCCTGAAGTGCTCCTTTCATCTGATTTAAAAATGGTAAATATGAGCAAAAATATGAGCCGAAATCACTCAAATCCTGTTATAAAAACTCTTAATTTATCTTCTTTAATAATGTGTCTTCTTAAGGTACATTTTCAGTTGTTACTGTGCAGTACAATGTAATCGTGCCTTAAACTTTCATATCCATTCTTAACGACGCTTGTGAATTGATATTCTCAATTAATGTGTCTTCTTTAGGCACATTTTCAGTTAGTTGAAAGATGGTGTTAAAATGGTATTTAAACTTAACTTTTACATAACCCCTTTGTCATACAAATCATCCTCTAGTTTAGTTTTTTTTGTTTCTATAACCTAATTTGTGATAGAACTTAGACTTAATTTTCTACAAGAGGTTTGTTTTTGTTGCTCTTTTTAATGTATGGGTGCTACATTAGCAATCTTCCTGTCAATAAATATTCACCTTTGCCTTGATTGTGTGGAAGAATTTGGTTAATGGACTTGGAATAACATATCTTGTTTCCTTAAATACAATTAGTTGAATAATATCAGGCCCTGGAGGTTCGTTTAACATCATTGCTTTTTCTGCCTGTAACACGTTTGTCTCTTTTGTGCTTATTCTACATTATATAATATTAGACTTTTTCTTTGCTAAGCCTCGGGGATTTTGCTTTAATTTCTGTCATATCTTAGAGGGTGATTAAATTAGGTTTTGAAATGGCAAAAAACCATTTTATTTGTAATCAGGAGGTTTCTTTATTTGTGACCAGAGACTAACATAGACTGTTTTTCATTTCTTCTCAGAAATTTAAAGACCAGGTTGTCATCATTCTGTGGAGCTATACCCTGAATAAGGTTAGTGTTTCTGAAAGAGAAATATATGCCCAGAGGAATTACTTATGATTCCACCCACAACAATTCTGTGAAATGGTCATTAGGAAGTCTATGGAAAGGGACAGATATAGACTGTTAAAAGTGACATTGTAATAATTCTACCAAATAGTTTTATTCAGGTCTCTTCTGTGTTATATCTTGCCTTAAGACTGATACAGGGTTTCTTTATGGTATTTGTGTGTTTATAAATTGGGGAAAAAAGTCCTGGCAACGTCTCTGGTGACTGTTAGTGTAGGACATTCTGCTCTTACAAGTTGCAGCCCACTATGGAGCTTGGATCCTGTGTGGAATGGCTCTGCAGATGGGTGGGTTGGAGGTTCAGTACAGGAGTAATTACTGTGAGAGAAAAACATAAAAGCAACAGTTTATCGTATATAAATAGGTTGGGTAGAAAATTAAAAGCAAAAGAAAACTATTGCTTTTTGTCCCTCCTATGGGCATTTTTAAAAGTAACACAAGGTGGTTAAAAGTCAGGTGGCAAAGGAACGGTTTGTGTTTCAGGATCCTCTGATAGCAAGCTGTGGTTATAGAGCCCTCTCTAATTTCCCAGAGGGAGTACATACGATATTACATCTACCGGAACAGGTAAGAGTTTTATGGGAATGTGGTGCGTTGTCATTATGATAGCTAGTACAATCAATGGAGATGCACTTCAGTGTTCCTGCTGCAAGTGATACAGTGATACAGAGGGAAAAACAAAGAAAATTAGCAATGGTGTGCTGACCTTTATATGTGACACATTGTAGAAAATGCATGGAAAAAAATAACTACATACTGTCATAAATACTCATGGAAAAATTGGTAAGGAATTACTTTAATGTACAGTAAATTGATTTCTTTAGAATCTAGTGAAGTATAATATTTTGTAGATGCAAAAAAGTGCACATTGGCAACTTTGAAGTAACTAGAGTCTAGTAAAATCTCAGCCAGGGGCTGAGTAACATTCGAGTTTTAGCAGTAAGCTTATTTTTTACATAAAGAACAATGCAGTAATGGGTTGCATTTTATTATGCCTAGACCTGGGACCAGCAGGCTTTTTCATTAGCTCAGTAATCATATCTTCATAAAGCCTCATAATTTTTTTCATGTTGATGATACTGGCATTAATAGGTATACCCTTGAGGCCCATGCAATGAAAACAGCTTATTAGTGTATAATTTTGCAATGTATGATGCATGCATTACCAAAGCAACCTGTCTGTATTGCCGTAGTTACCACATACAGCTCATTGGAGTATTATCAATTTAAAATCCACACTTGATTACTAAATTTTTCAATTATTTTTATGAATGATTTTCCTAAAAGGGCAAAATAAGAAATTATTGCATTTTCTTCAAAAGCTTAAATCACTTCTTAATAAAGTAGACATAGATGTGTCAATCTTAACAAGTATATTATACCAAAAGGACATTTTTAGATTTGTAAACAAGGGTAATTTAATCTGTTTTGTCATGCCTTTGCAGTTATTCGAACAATACATGTTTTTACACCAAATGCTTAATAAAGTGAATTTCTATGTCTAAAGCGTATATATCCTTTTACTTTTTTGTTTTCTGCAGCTGTTGAAACAGTAAAGAACAAATGTTCATATGTTTTCTTTGACTATTTTTGATATTTATTAGATGGAGCAAAAGCAAAACGGGGAAGAGGGTAGAGGTGAAATACTGAATATCTACACTCCTGATGCATTTGTTTTTTTGTGTTGTGTGATGGCTGCTGTAATACTACATGAACTGACTTGCCGTTGCTGGCTTCAGGCCAGGCCACCAGTGAAGACTCCAGACAGTGAGGAAGAGATAAATGAGGATGAGGAGAAGGAGGAGGATCTCTCCATACCAGGCGCTTCCTACATCAAACTTTTGGGTCTCACGCCACCTGCCGTGTTACCTGGTATGTACACTGAAGAGAAAGCATCATCTTATTGTCTTCAGCTCTTTGGCAGTTACCCAGTATTTTGTTTACTCCAATGTGAGAATAAAAGCGATTCTTTGCAAGAGTGGCTTTGAATTTGATTTTTCAGTGTAGTGTAATATAAAAGCATGTTTTGGATGTACTTTTGTTCGGGAGTGATTCATGCTGAGATTGTAGTTTGCCACATCAGTGACAGCCTTTAGATATAACTCCCCTTTTTTTTGCATACTATGTACAGTAGGTCATGCTGTTGCTAAATGTTGCCTCTAATGCTGTTATTCCTAATGTGGCATAAACTAAGAAAACATGCTTAAAGGGTTCATGTGCCAATTGATAAATTGCTTGAGCAGTGATAACATGTTTATCAAGGCAAAGCCACTTCCTCTGGGTGCCAAGAATTGGCTTTTAGCAAGTATTGGCTTTTAGTTTGCAATTCTTGCACAGCAAGAAAACACGTCTGTTCACTTTTCATGCCAAACCGCTGTCCATTAATATTATTTGGTCTTATTATGAGGTTTACATATTGCCATTTTGTAGGTTTAGAAAATTGAAGTTAGTATGAAAGTAATACAGAAACATACTTAGCGGGCTTGTTATATTGGAACTTAGCAAGTTTATCCTTGACAAGTGGTTGGCACTGTACACTAGGGAAAAATGTGTACTGTATTTATCTTATGTTCTTTTTAAAAAAATCTTCTTTTCATAACATTTAAATGAGCACCCCAAAGCATTTTAAAGTAACCTTATAGTGCTTAACTTAAAGTGAGGTATTCATTTTTTATTAGCTGTAATTGAATTCCTTGATTTAAGTTTATTCAGCTTGCAGAAATAAATCATCAAAGTGATTCAAATACTTAGAGACAATCAATAAGTTGTACTGAACTTCTGAATATTGATGTCACCTGGTATTTTATGCAGAATTGTATACTATAGAGAAATTATTTACTAGAATCAGATTCAGTTATTAGAATATAGTATAAACTATTTACTATTAGAACAGTATCAGAGCACACAAAAACCATATTGATGTGTACCATCCCTTGACTCTTGACTTAATACCTGCTGTTCTACACACTTAAAGCCTCTTACACTAGCTAAGGTTACTATCCAAATAATAAATTAGTGGTTACTTAATAAATGTGTTTCATGAGTTCGCAAGTCTGTTTTCCTGTGTTTCAAAACTAACTTAGAAACGCATATGGTTCAAACCTGACAGGCATATTAAATGTAATGGTAGATCATAATTGCAGCAGATAGTTGATTGACTTTCAGCAACTTGGCCCAGCCAAGACATGCGTTTCTTGGCTGATTGTTCCTGCGCTGGCTGTAGTTATTTCACCCCCGGCCGGTCTTGTCAGCACTGCAATTAATTCAGACAAAGAGATCATTCAACCTCATCAGCAAGAGCGGTTCAGACCATTTGTCTCCATGCCAGAAGCCCTTGATATCCCTAAATCAGAGTTTCCTGACCCAACACTGATCCTGAGGTCAGCTTTGACTTGCACAATTAGTTGTCTTTACTGAGGATCTTAACTTTGAACTTGCAGGAACTAGTCCTTCTTTGCTGCTTGCAGACATAGTTGGAAAAAATCAAAGGTTTCCACAACAATAATGTTTTTTTCTTTTTTTTAATGCTTGTGTGTTCATTAGCAGGGACATAAAACATTTACTTTCTCGGAAGTACTTTAATTTTTGCATAAGTATGATTGTCCCAAAACAACACAGTGACTTCCTTTTAGAATTCATTTATTGGTCTTTGTTGCTTGAGGGGCATCTTTATATCATATTGAAGCTAAATTTTGTTTTCTGACAAGGGGCATTTTTATTAATAATATTATATATATTAATTTAATAATTGTATTTAATGTAAATTAACTAAGCAAGGGTTATTCAATCAATAAAAAAACACAGTATATAATTTGTTCATTAAATGTCTTTGTTTTACATAATTGAAGATTGCCTTCAAAATGTGTTGCTTTAAATACTACGAAGTAAACATAACTTAAAGAATATTTTTTTCATAGTATTTTCCTAAACACTTGTAATAGTTCAAATCAAATGTGTTTTCCACATTACCAAAGTGCCACTAATGCAAAGCTTCTGTGGGTGGAGCAGTATGAATGACTGTCAACAGTCTAAATTATTTTTACATTTATTCCACAAGTAAGTACTTTTTAATTTTTATCATAAAAGAAACATCATAGTTGTGTATCTTTTGATTTATAAACCTCATTTGGCTTTTTTTCCCACAGGGATAAATAGCATTTATTGTATCATTAAAACCTCTGAGGTATTACTCACAGTAGTTCATTGGCCTAACATCTTATTTACCAGTTACTCTGTTGCAAATGATCAGTATAAAATTAGCATCAAAGCTGGATAAACATCAATTTATGGTATTAGCCAGAAAAATCTTGGTCAGTGCTATGCAACTATTTAAAGGATTTTCAGTCTGTCTCTTTATTGTTGATATTTGCATAATTTAACAAAAATATCTGTGAAATGTACCTGTACCTTTGTTCTGATATTACTCACTACCTTTTTCCTCTTCAAAACAAAAAAGCAATAATGCAGTTATGCAGTATAATTGTTCCTACTGATATTTTAAAGGCATCTGATTTGAAGAGATTTTTCACTTTTATCTTTGTCATTTTATATTCACTGTTGTTTGCCGTCTGTTTGAAATGAAGCATACCCACAACTGTTGGCATTTTTTTAAATAATCATACATTTGAATGTGTAAAGTTTACAGGTTTGGAATGTTTTACTTCTTTTGTCTGTCTACTATTTTTCTAAGCACTGTAGGCGAACAGTAAAGAAGGGGAAGGATTTGAAGGACAGAATGCGAATGAAATTGTATATTTTTGTTTTCGTGAATAGCCCTAGAAGTATTTCTCACGTCACTGGTGAGACAGGAGATGGTGGAGATGCCACGCGGAGTGTACCACTCTGCTCTGAGAGGGGCGGCCTCGCGCTCGGACCTGGGGAAAACAGTCGCTGGGATTCCTGGCTTCATACTGAAAACGTATGAAAAGAACAAGCAGCCTGGGCTAAAACCTGGCCTTGCAGGTTAGTTAGTTTCCTTTTTGCTTTCACTTACTCTTTAGAGCAACAAAATCATATGAAATTGAATTGCTTGCTTTTGGCTCATTGAATCATTTTTGGCTTCTCCACTTAACAAAGAATGCACCTAACATTTGTGTTTTACTTAAATGTTAGTCTTTGGCTCTTTGGCTCTACCTAAAGCTGTAAATCAAAATGAAAGATTTTATAAATGCATAACAATACATAGACAACAGTTTACCTTATACAAAACGGAATGTCCTTTTCTGTTTGACCTCAAGATATGTAATCATAATGCTTGAATGTCTTTGAAATGGTTTTATAGTATATACAGTACATATTTTCTTCTCCTAAATAAGAAACTAGTTAATGCACTGATAGTTCTTGACTACGTATTATAATATTGGTGTTCTTCACTCAACAGAATGCTCACTGGTGAACTGTAGTGCAAGGACACTGTATGTCTGTAAATGTATAATCTTGTCAGTGTTTTGAATGTCCTGGTTTCTTCAAAATACATTTTTTAATGCACTTGGTGGTATGACAAAGATTTAGTTGTGTGCTTTCTTTGACAAGCAGCAGATTTTATCCAGTGGTGTAAAATTAATAAACTTGGTATGCTATATTATGTAGGTTTTCCCCACAAAGTGTGCAATCATTTGATTTTGTTACAAATCATTATTTTGAAGTGTTCCTTAGCCTCACATACTTATGTTTATTCTTTTATTTGATGCTTCACTGATGTAATATATTGGCTGTAAAAGTGCCTAGAGTTGATTATATTTTTGAATAATTCAAATATAATCTTAAAATTGGTTTTCTTGCTCATTGTTATGGGATTTGATCAAAAGTGTAACTGCACATTGGATTAAAAATTCACAAGTTCTACAATTTAATTTACAAGATTTAATTTTATACTGCATATATTGATCAACAACAGCAAATTTACAGTTAGGATAATGAAAATCTTTTTTGAAGCAGGTGAACTTATATTTTTTTAAAAGACACTTAATCGGTAAATTCTTTATGTTTATTAGCATTTTTCATCAAGCACATTGATTGATACAGGGGCTGTTATGAAAGCCAGAAGCTACTAGAAATACAAGCTGTACATCTGAAATGCATGCTTTACATGAAATTTTACAAACAAGAGGAAACCATCAGTTCATCTAGATCATTTGAGAGTTGGAGCTGAATGATTGAAGGATTTCACCCAAACATTTTTTTAGAAAAGCCAGTCTATCAGCTTCAACAACCTTGGTAGCTTCTTCCATACTTCCTCAACACTTTGCACCAGATTGAAGATGCTATTTTGTGATTGTCTCATTCCTGTTGAGGAGACAACAGAACCTGTTTACTGGTCTCTATATCTTAGGTGCCACATGTAATCCCAGCTCATTTGACAGATATGTGGGATCAAGTGGGCTCATGTCTGGAGAGTAGGGTATGCATGGTATAAGTGTCACATTTTCATGCAAAGAAACAGTTATTATGTAGGCAGCTTAAGGACCTTGAAATGTATTAAATGGGGGCTTGCTCAAAACTAAAGGTCTTAGGTGTGCTTGCCTTGCTGTTATGTTTCAGCTGGTCTACTGCTATGCTACGACCTGCCCATTCAGACTGACAGAGATGGAAGGCCAATTAACCGTTTCCTTGTTAGTAGAGGACGCAGCTTTCAGCAGATGTTGGCAGCCCTTATTCATGAGGTATTTTATTTTTCACAAATTATTTTTTTTAGCTTTTTAACAATTTTCAGGCAATAGCATAAATATATTTAATTTATTTGATTATGTAACTGACCATGTAATTTTAACTAAATGAATTAGTTGGAATTGCGGTTTATACTGCAAGACAGATGTTTAAAAGTCAGATATAATGTTTTTTTTCTTAAACTTCACTAAGAGAAAATCTCAAAATCTGTGTGCAAATAATATTTTAAATATTCTCAAATAGTCAACCTTACTCCTGTCTTATGTAATTTAAATGGTTATTCACAACATTTCCACATTGCCACTTGAAACCACTAAGACAGGTTTTTAGTCTCATACACAAAGCCGTCACCAAATGTCATAGGTGTGACAGTCATAGTCATGCCTTACGAGTGTGGGATAAATGACCAAAACTTCCTGTTGTTAAACCACAGATAATTCGGTAGACAGTTTTGTGTCCATGTTGGAAGAAAAGTCAGTAAAGCATCGTGTGGTAATGGGTTGTGAAATCTTACAAGAAAAGCAATGAAACCTGAAGTTCTCCACTCAATCACTTCTTAGAAAGGAGCTTGTCGTAGAAGCTTCATAAAGACACATACTGTATATTGTCTGCTGTGTTCGTAAATGGAGAGAAAACATTTCACATGATCAATGCTGAGGTGGTCACGCGTAACCATGTTCATATGATGTAAAAGCCTTGAGAGACACAGCTGTTAATGTCAAGCTTTCTTAATGATTATTTTTCGGCGGCGAGGGCACCTGGGAGATCACAGCTGTCTTCACATTCAGATTTTGAAATTTAGTTCAAAAATGAAAAAAAAATTAAAGCACTTAGTATTTTACAGTAACGCAATGGTCCACCCTGATCAAGATTGTTTCAGAAAAAAGATGTAGAGGTGCTTTTCATTTATAGTATTGTGTAGTTGTGCTGAATTCAATTGGTGTGTGCTCACATTTTGTCACATAGACTCGCATTTTGATAAACATTAAATTTATCAATTTGAACATAGGAACATTCAAGGGAAACAAGACCAGGCCATCTAACTCATTTGGTTCTTAGTAGTTAATTGATTTGAGGACAAAAGTACATCTTCGCCTCAGTGGATGGGTAAGGTTTTCCAGACTTCCATGATTCTTTTTCTTTGTGGATTTAGTTTTAAATATATATAGTTTTAAATTTTAGAAAAAGATTGAAAGAACGTTACACAGACATACAGCTAGCAGCTGTTCTATGTTTAGAAGCCTTTCAACACCATATTAGAGCCACATCTGGAGGTGAACAAGGGGAACTGTATACAGTTCACCTACACCTCAGGTATCACCTCTGCAGCTGTAATTGAAAGTCTAAATTATATAACAAAATTAACAGTAGGTTGAAAAAAATATTACTTTTTAAAAGCGTAATATTTCAAATACACTGTGTAGATTAAGAAAAGTCCATGTTCTCAAGTCACAATTATAAGTAATATTACACAACTGATCAATAATATGAAAAAGAGCCAAATGTTATAGCCATATCAATAATAGACAGGTAGACTGTGGTGGCAAATGCATTCACTGATAGCATTGGAATTATAAAATACTCTATAAATATTGACAAAAGGTTTTTGCCAGAATGTAATCCCATGGCAAGGAAATGTAGAGAAATTGCAAGCACAGGAAAAACACAATTCTGTTAGGGTTTGCTCTTTGTTTCTGTGTTCAACTCGTTTAAAGGTATGGGCCAACAAAGCTGAGTTGAAGGGTTTTCCTCCCTTTATGCTGATGACAGGGTTAATTATCTCAGTCATGTTGATTTTTACATACAGTATATTACCATTGGAAAATTGTTCCTGAATTTCAGTACAGTACTTTGTTAACACAGCATCACATGCATTAAATTAACATTGTTGGACAACATTTTCACGAGACACTCCAATGCATCAATCAAACACAATGGACTAAGTCACCATTATACTTGAGCCTTTGCCTGACAAGCCTATACTGTTACCTCCAACAGCTGAGCATGTGCTGCTTTCTGTGTCAATAAAAAAATGCACTGTCAATATTTTTTTCTGAATCACTTTCAGTGTATGCGGATGAGAAGAAAAGGAACGTTTTGACAGTACTGCCTTTTTCTATCTTATGAAAAAGCACAATGATGTGATAATGGTCTTTATCATCATGGTAAAACAGTGGTAACTTTTATGAATAACTCCCCTAGTGTTCTTTTTTTTACCCCTGATATGACTCATGCATTTTCATTCAAACAGCTCCCTTTAATGGCATACTTTGACTGGCAGCTTTGATAGTTATTTTCTCCTCTAGTTTTTGATGTATAGCTTAAGACCATCAAAAGCGTAACTGAGAAAAATTACCTTAATTTTAACCACATTACTCTTCTAGACTTTTTTCAACTTGCAGGAAGCGTTCTTGGTTTATCAAGCACAGTAGGCTGCACTTAGCTCTTTGTAAGGCAAATTGATGGGATGGAATTTATTAAGAGTAAAATCTGGATTATTTTTATATGGCTTCAACCACTAAGTCTTCAAATTTGTAGTAGACTAGCTATATTACCACATCTGCCTTCTTCAGTCATTATTAACAGACTTAATACTTAAGTGTCTGTTAGTATCCAGGTGTTAAAGCACTTGAAAATTCTTAAGACAAAGAAAATATTGGCAAAAAGTACTTAAATTAAAGCTTTGCTTTCTTTGTTTACACACATCATGCTTGAAATTAAATCTTTGATGACATTTGTTTCCACAGACATTAAATCATGCGTGTTACTTAAATCATGTGGTATTGTTTTGGAGTGTAGACAAGGGCTAGTAAACAATTGCTACATTATGATAGTAGTATTTCACTATGATAGTAGTATTTCAAGTTACCTCTTAGCTGGGGGGAGGGGATCTTGGAAAAACCTGCCACATTTTAGAACATTTATTTTTTAGAATATTCATGATATTTTTCATTTTTATTTCCGTTGTTTCTTATTTGAAGAGCTTGGAACGTTTTTTTGCTTACTGACTTCTTCAGAGGTACGGTACATGAAAACATATTTTTAAGATCCCTCAGATCTTTCTTAACCGTCTGGTGGGGGGACAATGGCCCAAAAATATCTCATGCCTGTAACAAAAGTGCTTTACTTAAACCAGAGTCTGTATGACTGTACAATGGTTTGAGGTAAAAATGCTTTTTTTTATCAAACTCATTTAAATTATTACCTCTGAAGTACTTTTTATGGCAATAAATGTTTTGCCTTTTATTTTAATGTTTGATGCATTTGATACATATATTGTGCAGTGCATTCATTCTGCATATTTATAATAAAAGTGAAATTGAACATCTTACAGTACTTGAACTGTCCTCGTAGTGTTCATGAATAATGGATGTTTTTCTTAAAACATATGGGAACAATGATGAACCCACAGCTCGACTTGTTTGGCTTAAAGGAAAACCCTCTTCATTTCTTTTGGGACATTTCCAGAAACGCAGCCACAGGCCACAGGCCACATTTGTTCCCCCCCCCCCTCTGCTTTTGTCCCCGTGCACTGGCCGTTGCAAGAAATTCAGAAACATGACAACATGCTGGTGTTCATGACCCCTGAACCACTTCGCACGTCTGGAGGAGATGGCCTACATAAAACAAAGTCCACTAATTGCTATTGCAGCTGAAAGTCATGCAAGCTGATTCCATTTAACATCCTTGGGATCAGCAAAGGGCATTATCATTCAGGACATCCCCTTTATTCGTAGAGTGTGAAACCTGGACACTAGCAGCATGTGGAAGTGCCACCCGGCCTTGTTCTTCGCATTCTGTGTTGTGCTTGCCCTAGTGCACAGGGACAAAGAAACTGTGCAACAAGTGAAGGAGCTGTCTAGTCCCACCTACTGGTGAATGTGCCTTTTTATCACAGGACCAAACCTTAACTGAACACTCTGTAGCTTTTCATTTGCAGACTTTCTTACCTTTTTCTGGTCCAAAGGAGATCTTTATATAGTGTGCTGCAGTAAAAGGGAGTTTCAGGATGATGTCAGCTGATCTAGGGCTAAAAAGCTTGAAATGAAACCATAGTCTCTAAAAGTTAATTCAAGTAATACAATAATACAGTGCACTTTGTCTATACAGTATCTTGCAAAAGATATCTTGCATCTTATCTGTATCTTGCAAAAATTAATTAAGTTATCATGACATCATTCTCTAAAGAGTTTCAACTCTTACCTTACTGATTGCTGACACTTTGTCTCTTTTGAGGGTTTCTGTTCTCATGGTGGGTTAGTTAAATCTAGTGTTCCTCAGGACTTGATACCAGGTGGCACCCTACTGTTTTTACACAGTCATACTCCCACTTGGATGGTTATTAAGATTGCATTTGTCTAAATTATTATTTCTATGCTGATGATACTCAAATCTATATCCATACTAAACCTGACGCTGAACTAGCGGTTTCTGCTCTCTAATTGCATCTCTGATATAAAATCCTGGATGGCACACAATTTCCTTCACTTAAATTGCTTCTCGGCACCTCCCAACAAGTACTGTATGTAAAGACAATGCAGCAACCAATGGCATTGTACTTGAATTTCAACCTAAAATCTAGAATTTGAGGGATTCATTTAACCCATGCTTGACATTTGACCCAAATATGCCAAATATTGTAAAAACATAATTCTTCCATTAAGCCCTAATCTCTGAGGTATCTAAATCTAAAAAAAACTAAACAAACCTCAGAATATCCAGAATTCAGCAGCGAGAACCCTAAACATGTCAAGTACAAGGGATCACATTACTTCTGTACTGGTGTCTGTGCACTGGCTTCCTATAAGGTTTTGTGCTGACTTTAAACACCTCATGCTCAACTATAAGGCTCTACGTGGTTTGGCACCTCAGAACCTACCTGACTTGCTATCTTCTTACTCCCGACCCCACAACCTGCAACCTCTGTTCATCAGAATCTAATCTGGATGGCCTTCTATGCCACAAAGCTCTGGAATTCTGACCCCAAGGATGTCAGAGGATCACCTACCCTGACCGCTTTCGAATTCAGACTTAAAACATGGAAGGTTTTTATTTAATTAGTGTCTGTGTCTGCACTTTGCAACTTCTTAATCCCTTGTGTATCTTTGTGCAAATTGTATCTCTTATCTTTGTTTTTATTATTATTATTATTATTACTACTACTACTACTACTACTAGTGTTGCCTGATGATTGTACTCCTCTCTGCAGGTCAATATCCAGCCATCAGAGTGGCACCGCTCCATTCTGCTGCCGCAGGGTTGGCGAGGCTTCATGAGCAGGGCCTACCATGCAGTCTTACAGGTGACAGTGTGACAGGCAAACACCTTTTTCTTCAGAACTCCTGTTATAGTCTTCTTTTCATTTATGAGTCCCAAGATTGTCTTTAGCCTTAAAGTGAAGACATTAAGTCACTCATACACTTGATTATGCAATGCTTCTTTATCCTGTTTTTACCTGCGCAATGTTATGCTAAAGGTTGATTTTCAGACAAAAATAATCAAATGTTAGTAGATGATGACAGTGTCTTTTTAGGAAATAGGACCAGTAGAACCTTGCTGTTCAAGTATTATGTTTCCTGAAAATTCCAGTAAATTTTGTATCCATGAGGTGCAAACGTATCCATGAGTTGGGACCTCAATTCTGAAATGTCTCACCCCTTTTTGCAACATATGCAGAGCATGCAGTAAGTTAAGATTTTAGAACATTGAGTAATTTACAATGCTTACTGTATGTACTGGAGTAGTGGTGGCAGAAGCTGAAGTCTCAGCCAAAAGGGGGGCACAACTTTCTTTTGTAACGTAGCCCCACTGTGACACTTTTTGCTGAGACTGATCGTCAATGCCATATTAAGGACTTTTTTCCATCTTTGCAATGGTGGGATCGTGGCAACTAGCAAAAACCACTTCAGCATTAATAAGCATACTTATTCGTTTTCCATCATCAGTTTTCACCCATACTTCCACTTTCAGTTGACTCAAAACTATAGTCGTGGTCTCTCTACTGGCATCCAAGGGAAGCCAAAGACTTCACTCTTGTTAATCTATTCAGTA